GGGACGATAGGTGTTCTTTTGGATTTCACTTGGTATGAACCATTGACAAGATCTAAAGCCGATAAATTTAGCAGCTCAAATGGCATGAGATTTTCAAGTCTTTGGTAAGAATCAATAACAATAGTTCTGATTGAAGATTTACAGAAAAAGAATTGGGTCACTTCAACTAAAATCTAAGCCATCTAACGTAAATATTATATTTGAAACTATAATTTGTTCAAATGATATAGATTAGAAGAACCATTTCTCCTTTTCTCATTTATTTGTCCGAAACTTGTCAATATATTTTCAGTTAAATTTTTTAAAATGAAGAACCATAACCATATCTCCTGCCATTTAATCAGTACAGGTTTATGCATCCTCTTGTATATGGTGAAAATCCAAAACTATGCAGAATATTGCCAGGAAAAGGCTGCCAAAATTCACAAAAGAAGGGGTTAAGTGGTAAGGGGATCTTTTGATTTCATGGGCATAAATTAGTATACTGCTTGCTATATGTATGATCCACATGGAAATAAGATAGCCCTCCTTCGCTACTAGCAGGATTGGAATGTTGGATATGCTTGTAAGATATTCTCTTGCTTTTGATATTGAAATCAACATCTAAATTTACTGAATAACATTACCTCATACGTTGCCTTTTCTGATGATTGTCATGGAGTGCCAATCGGTTCAAGGGTAGCTCAGCTGAAACTATGCAATATTTACAAACTCTACTAAACTTTTATTGAGTACTTCTTGGCAATAACAATGTCACTGTGAATTCGTTATAATCAGGCACAATCTTATTGGCTCTACATTATATCATGGGGTCTGTACAAAGCCGTTAACTACATTAAAGAGACGTGAAAATCCTACCATGATTTTGCTGAGAATGGTACATTATGTATGTATTCTATATTAAAGGAAGTTTATTGCTTAGGTAAAAAATTATTGGGTATCTAAATGTTGAATCATTTAAACATGATTGGCAGGAATGGATGATCCAGGAAAGTGTTACATTTTCTAAGGGTTTACATGAGATCACAAGGATCAACTACTACAAGAGCTATTTAGCAGAATCGAAGAAACAAGCAACGAGGGAGCCAATGTGATCAGCTACTTCCAGTGGACATTGCTTGCTAATTTCGAAAGGAGACTCAGTTACGCATCAAGGTTCGTCATGTTGATATTGATTTCAGAACCCTCAAGAGATACCCAAAGATGTCTACCCACTGGTTCCAGCAGCTGCTACACCGAAGAAAGCATTAAGCAAAAGAATAGTTCTCTCTGCCTTTCAATATTACCATCTGCCGTCTTTCCATTCGAATTTAAAGTTGCCACATCAATTGCATTGGAAAGTACGATGAACAAAATTTAACTTGTTTTTATTCATTAATATTGTCCTGTCTACCTTACATGACATGGTGTGTTCTCAGTGTATGACATTGATAACCCCAAAATATTTACTTTAAAAGCTCATTATTAAACAAACTGATAGTTCCCTTCTCTTACTATGTAGTCATCAATTTACACACAGAAAAGTGATAATTAGAAAAGAAAATTGGTATGTAGGCAATTGCTTTTTGCAAAAACAAGATTTGAAGTAATGATCGAAGTAATTTACAATGGACCAGAGCAATTATTGAGTCTTGAGTTTCCATCTTCAAAATGTCTAATCTTAGTCTTATTTAGAGGAGTCCTCAAGCCTTTGTAGGTGTTTCTGTTGTAAGTATATTTTGCGCTCATTTGGTAGGATAGACTTTATAGTATTGTCGAATATTACTAAATAATAAACAATATCTCTTTCAATAAGTAGTTGTGAGTTTTGTACCATATTAACTAGAATGCGCGCAATAATTTATTATTATTATTATTATTTTCAGATTGTCTTCTTTCTCGAGAGTTTATGAGCTGTGGATGACTAAACTTTAGCAGGGCTGAACTGATGAACAAATCAAATGGCCAATGCGTTCAAGAGGAGGTATGAATATTTGCCAGTAAAATTACATACTTCTTTGCTGATTTTATTTTCTTGATAAAAATACTTCATTTTTACAAAATAGAAGATTCTTCATCAGCTCTATTAACTTAGCCCAGAGGTCATTCTGTTTGGATAGCTAATGCTCTATTGAATATCTACTTTCCAATTTCATTCTCCATCGGAACCTAAAAGTATAGTTCATTGTTGGTTAAATGGTTTATTTATAGGACCTCTTGTATCCTAAATGCATTTCTGGGCTGATTTCCATAACATTTTCTTGGTAGTGCTCCAGCATCTTTCTTACTAAAGATCAAGATGTATGTTTGGGTAAATTTGAAAGTTATGTCTTTTGTTTACTTCAAAACTAACCTACTCATACCTACCTATTAATAATCTTCTTCCTTTCTTTTTGTTCTGTTACGGTGGATTTTGGACTTGCTAAAGCTTTTAAAGAAGATTATTTAGCTTCTTCAGTAAGTGCTTGCTTAGCATACTCGTTAACTATCTTTTTCCCCATCGACATTAATAACAATTAATGGATGAAGTATGAAAAGATACCATGTTTCCTTGTGTTTTCTGTTCATTTGTTCTATTTTGGTTAATGATAATAGAATTCATGAATTTACACTAGCATATCAACCATTGATTCTAATATGACCTCTGCTCCAATATGAGTGGCTGGCATGCAATGAAACTCTTTTAGAGGGAGAGTTTGCAAGATCTATTAAAGTTAAAGGTCAAATATGGTTCTACTATGTTCTTTGGTTGTCAGAAACAACAAACTAATCCTTAGTTCCTATATTCAGTTGACAGCCTTGAGCATTCAATTTCTATCAAAAGTTTCTTGTAGAGCTTATCCATTGTAGTTGATAAATTAAACATATTCTTTTCTCCCTCAATGACAGTTACTCAATAAAACATGGGAAAATCCTATTATTTAACTCCAATTAAACTTGCCAAAAACATAATTTAGTGCCAATGTATTTTCCTCCTAAATATCTGCAGTTAGCTTATCCAAAGAAAATATCTATCAAAACTAGCTACTCGATAATGGAACTTATCCCAAAATCATGTAAAGTCTCATGGCTTCAGCAGATCCTATTGAGTTTACCATTGTGAGTTATGTATAATATTAGTCATTTTTGCAGATGATAGTTGGAAAATACGTATTTTGTTCAACAAGCTTCCTAATTTTTCATTGATTGATTGTGAGGATATGCCATATTATTTTCGTATTTAAATTAAAAAAGAAAATTATGTTCATCACATCTCTAAAATTTCATATGATGATATTCTTTGGTAGCTGTCTTTTAAGTTGATTTGCCAGTTAAAATTTGAGGTAGATGTAATTCATGCATATACATTTACATATATT